GGTGGAATTTGGAGTAACTATCCAAAGACCCCCGAGGAAGCGCCCAGAGAGAAAACAAAGTAGAAGGTCCCATCAGAATAAGGATATGCCCCATCCATTGGAGTCAAGGATGCAATATAATTTGTGGGTCCAATTGGCTAAACTAGCCAACACAACTGATTTTTGCCTTTCTGAAGCATATGACATGGAAAATTTGCTGTCCACATGTTTAATACCAGTGTGTGTTCCAGTCACAGCAGCTAAGGAATTCAGTCACATACTCCTAACGTTGCCATTCCAGAAGACTTACAATGTGCACATGTCACAGGGTGTGAGCAGAATATACCTTCACCTCATTGCCTGAAAGTGAGCCAAGAAAAGCTAAATTGCACATCTTTCCAAACAGTGTCTTTTGGGTATGCAAACATATGGTTACCTAAAGGGTGGTTCTTCACATGTGGGAATTACAGAGACAAGAGTATAACAACATACATACATCAGACCCAAGTGTTATGGAATGAAACTTATCTGCATAGATGAGATAAGTCTCATCAGGGGGGAATAAAGTGGTACCTGGAAAAATACTGGTCCGACAAAGGATGTGTATAAAAAGCAGATGGCCCAACAAAAATGTGGGTTTGTTTTGCTTACAAGACAACTCTTAAATTTAGGATGGCCAGACATCCTGTTCCCAGCTCTGCACATGATATATTACTAATTGCCTGTCACATGGTATATCTCAATTGCTTAACACTTGATATATTGCTGATTGCTAAAAACATTCCAATGTAAACGAGGAGCTATCGATTATAGATCTGTCTAGTAGTTTTTCTATGTTAGAATAAGGACCTATAGAATGTAATGTGACCCGAAAATAACCCCCGCCAGAAAGGCTTATAAAAGTGGTCATCAAAGTACAATCTGAGTTCAGACTGTTTAAGCCAGGATGGCTCTCTGAACCTGCATGCAATAAACTTCCCTTTCCTGAAAGAGCTGATTCAAGTCTTTGATTTCTACAACAAGATGTCCTTCTTCTAAATCCACAAGACTTGACACGCCATTGGAACAGAGTTTGTCATGAATGTGATTTGTTTTCCAATCATGCCTAGAATATTCCTCACCATGCACATTGTTTGATTATAGAACATATGATGTGCTACTCATTGAAATATGTCACTGTGGAACGGATGGCATAGCAATTAAACAGATGCATTGAAAAGGATGCCCAAGGAGTGGGCTTCCATGGTTCATTGTCAAATTGAGCCAAAGCATTATGTAAGCTGCCCCAAGAATCAGGTCTGGGCCCCCTTACATTTCCATATTTTTTTCTAAACAATATACAGTGGATAAAGAGGTAGAGGTAATACCTATCAGATTTGGAGATGATGTAAATATTTTAGGACACTGAACTAAACTGCAAATTGATTTCCGTAGATTAGAAAAATGGGCTGAAGATTAAAAAATGAAATTTAATATATACAAATGCAGAATTCTTAGGTAGGGAACAAAATATCAGATGCAGAGCTACAGGATGACCTGGCAATATTATTTGTAAGAAGATACTGGAAGTTGACTTGAAACTGGGTATGAGCCAGGATATATGGCTGTAAAAATTGTAGACTGAAATTGTAGACTGTATCATCAGAAACATAATTTCCAAACCCCAAAACATAAGTATTCTACTTTGATGAGACACCTGCCCTCCCCCCCTTGCATACTGCAGCAGGTTCTGAGCAATGTATTTTTAAAAGATTCAGAAAAATTGGAGCAGGTGCTAAGAAGAGCAATGGGATGATCAGGAAAGCTAAATCCTATCCATCATTGGATGTGTTCAAAGGCAAGACAGCCATCTAGTTCAGCTGCTCTGATTGGGACACCTGCGTTGAGTAGGATTGAAACCAATGGCCCTTCTGAACTCCACATCTCCATGAAGCATGAACAGAGAGCACTTTGAACATGTACCATGAGTAGTTGTTCACTTAGGAACACTGAAAGCTTTTCCACTGAAAGTTTAACAAAGAAAGGTGTGTGTGTGTGTATGTGTGTGTGTGTGTGAGAGAGAGAGAGAGAGAGAGAGAATGATTGGTTATAGATGAGAGATACATAGATGAGAGACAGACAGATAGAGATAGATGATAGATGATAGATGATAAAAGAGAGAGGAGGGGAGAGAGAGAGAGAGAGAGAGAGAGAGAGGGAGGGAGGGAGGGAGAGAAAGAATCTGAGAATCTTTTTTTTCCTTAAGGAATTATCATAGGAATTATTTTGATGGATTAGACTACAAATCAGTTGAGATCTATTACAGTTGCAAAATGTTTGTGCAAAGTTCATAAGTATGATGTGAAGGAACAGACTTTTGTTTGTTGTTCCCAATATTGTTTCCTCGAAGGTATATGCTGTGGCTAATAACTAGCTATGGCTAGCAACATCAAATGAATTCATTTGATTTTAACATATCTAATTTTGTAGTAAAATAGGTCCCCACCATTTGTTAATTGGCAAAATGTGAAGAAGCTTATCTATCTTGTACACAATGCCAACTTTCCCATTGGGCAGAAACAGGTGATGGAGATCAGTCCTGTCCCTTGCTGTACCTGGCTGGTTTCCTACCAAGTTTTGCTTTTCATATTCTGGGTAAAACCATCTGATTGCAGTATTTTAAAAAATCTATTAGCTTGAATAGCTGATCTCCCTTGTCTACCACCATGTCTGCAACTGGGTGGAGAGAGAGATGATAAAAGATAGATAGTTAGATGATAGGATGATGATAGGATAGAGATAGATAGATAGATAGATAGATAGATAGATAGATAGATAGATAGATAGATAGATGGATGGATGGATGGATGGATGGATGGATGGATGGATGGATGGATAGATAGATAATTAGATAGATGAGGAGGGGAGGGAGAGAGAGAGAAAGAGAGAAAAAGAGAGAGGTGTAGATCACCAGCAGCTCAGAGCTGCTTTTGAACTGGTGAACACTTTGTAAATAAAATGCCCTCAAACTGGTCCTGTTTGTTAATGACTGCCAATAGATACTTCCAAGTGCAAGTCACTCATCCTCCACATAATGCTTTTTACATGCCTTGAGACTCCCATTCTCTGAATTCGGTTGGTCTGCCATATAAGTTGAGTACTATGGGAACTGTAGTCCCAGCCCAATGTGCCAAGCGGGCATTGGCTTGGGGATACAAGTGTCCTCAGAAAAGAAAGGAGATAGTTCCATCTGCACTAATCATAATATTAGAAAGACCCAAATCATTTTAACCTTTCCACATACAGAAGGTCCTTTTAAGACCCTGATAATTTTGCACTGCGATCACAAAGATCTCTGTTCAAAGGCAACCCCAGCAAGATCAACAGTATTTAAGAAAGTGCAGACTTTAGTTGTTTTTCATACTTTCACCAGTGCAGGGGTAGGCCACCTTGGCACTCATGGATTTCAACTCCCAGAATTCCTGAGCCAGCATGGCTCAGCTTGGAAGCCTCTCCCTTTCCCCTCAGCATGGCTGGCGTAGGAATTCTGGGAGTTGAAGTCCATGAGTCATAAAAGAGCCCAGATTGCCTATTCCTGCACCAGTGTAAGAAACTTCTGTACCCCATAATTCAACTCCCTTATCTTTATTCTAAAGCAGCGGTTCTCAACCTATGGGTCGCGACCCCATTTGGGGTCGATCGACCATTTTTCGGGGGTCGCCAAAGGCGGCGATCCGCCATTTTCTCCTCTCCGGGGGGCACCACCGCGCATGCGCGCCGTGCATGCGGGTGCCACCGCGCATGCACGCCGCGCATGGGGGAGCCGCCGCGCATGCGCGCCGGGCATGGGGGAGTCGCCGCACACGCGCGCCGCGCATGGGGAGCCGCCGTGCATGCATGTCGCGCATGGGGTGCCGCCGCGCATGGGGGCGCGCATGGGGCGCCCCGCGCATAGGGTGCACATGGGGGCGCCGCCGCACATGCGTGTCGTGCATGGGGGTGCCGCCGCGCATGCGCATCGCGCATGGGGTGCCGCCGCGCATGCGTGTCGTGCATGGGGTGCCGCCGCGCATGCGCACCACGCATGGGGTGCCGCCGCGCATGCACGTCGTGCATTGGGGTGCCGCCGTGCATGGGGTGCCGCCCACATGCGCGCCGCGCCGCGCATGCGCATAACGTTTGTGTGACAGGAGTCGCCGTCACACAAACGTTGAGAACCACTGTTCTAAAGAGTGTGTTTCTGATGCCTGAACTAGTGGTGGCTAGTTCTCCATCACCATTCATTCACTGGTCCCTTGTCCATTCACTCCCATCCCCTTACTTTATCCTGGGAGGCATCGTACACCAGCCATCTTTTTTGTGGCAGTGGGAATACGGGAATCCTAATACAGGTAGTCCTCGATTTACAACCGTTCACTTAATAACCATCAAAAATTACAACGGCACTGAAAAAAGTGACTTATGAGCGTTTTGCACACTTACAACCCTTGCAGCATCCCTGTGGTCACGTGATCCAAAATTGGAATGTTTGGCAACTGACTCGTATTTATGACTGTTTCAGAGTTCGGGATGTGTGTGTGTGTCACGCGATCACCCTTTGCCACCTTCCAATAAACAAAGTCACTGGGGGAAGTCAGATTCACCGAAGAACCCTGTTACTAACTTAACGACTAGCCGTGATTCTCTTAACAACGGCAGCAAGAATAGGACAAGCCAAATTCCCTTAACAAATGCCTCGCTTTGCCACAGAAATTGTGGGCTGGATTGTGGTCGTAAGTCGAAGGCTACCTGCAGGTGATGCTAAATCAGAAAAGCGGGGGTTGGGTGTCCCCCCCTTCCTCCGTGTTGAATTTTACAAGGTGTTTATTCTTGGGAGCCAGGCTGTCTCCAGCTTGCATCCAAGGGTGCTTCGCCTTTAAGGGGTTGGCGTTCCGCTTCGCTTGAGAAGCAGCTCCAAGTTCCCCAGGCTCAGGGCGTGTCTGTCCCCAGAGTGACACCAGCGCGGGGGGGGGGAGGGAGAAAGGGGGGGGAGAGACCGGCAAAAGAAGCCTGCCCACTGCAGAACTCAGCCTGGAATAGCCCAGGGTCGGCGGGGGATACGGCCGATCCCGGGCTGGCACAGCGAGATTCCCCCCTCCTCCCCACCCTCCGTCTGTATCTCGCCTACTGCCCGCTCTGGCTCTGGCTGGGCTCTGCTTGTTTTGTCCGCGCCGCGCCGCGCCGCACTGAGCCGCGCCACGGCCGAGGAGGATGCGCCTTCTTCCAGCGGTGGCGGCGGCGGCAGCTGCTGCTGCTGCTGTTGCTCGTGTCCGGGGAGCGCGGTGATTAGCCAGATGGGGACCGGCCTGCCCGGCTGACGGAGCGGGGGAGGAGGAGCAGGCGCTTTTGTTGCCTCTGCGGCCGCCGGATCGCCCGCTGCAAAAGGAGAGGCGAGGCGCCCCGGAGAAGGTAAGGCTCGGAGAGGGTCCGTCGCCGAAAGGGGAAAGGGGAGAAATCGGGGTTTGGAGGAGGAGGAGGAGGAGGAGGAGGAGGAGGAGGCGAGAGAAAGGGATGCGGGCCCGGGCGAGTGGAGGGAAAGGGCCGCCCGGATCTGTCAGCGGTGGGGGGGGGGAAGGGAGGGCCGGGAGGATGGATGGAGAGTTGATGATGGCGAAGGAGAAACGTCCAGTCTTGATGAGGAGAAGGCAAAGGGCTCCCTTTCCCCCACCACCCCGATCCTAGTTCACGCTTAGGATACCTTAGTGGGGCATCTCCCCAAAAGGATGCTCCAGCTGGTTCCCTCCTTCCCTCCCTCCCCATCAAGGTGAGAGTTTGGCGAAGAAAAAACAACACCGCGGGGGGGGGGTCTTTTGCTTTAGAAGTGATTTGACAGATGGGGCATGGTGGGAGGGGGGGAGCGGGGGCGGGCGAGGAGGTTGCCAACCGCTTCCTCCTCGCCTGGCTTGCAGGGCTGCAGCTAAATAGGTGAACTATAAATGGAAGAACCGGGATCCATAGATGGCTCGTGATGGACTTGTGCCAGCCTTAGTGCTGCCTTGGAATGGTTCTCTCCCTCAGCATCCTCCCCCTTCTCCTCCTCCTCCCCCCCCCCTTTGCTTAGAGACAGAGCGGCTGCAGAGAAAGAAGGATGCAGCTTTCAAGGCCAAGATAGCTGGCTGGCTGCCTCCCATCCTGGCTATTTGTTTATGCCTGCAGAGTGGTCCTCCTCGGTCTTGGGCCTTCTGGAGGGGGCTGGCTGGAAATTAAAAAAAAAAAAAAAGGGGGAAACTGGACCGATATGGTAATGAAGGAGGGAGAGGCAGATGGACAGAGATCCCCAGGGCTCGGGAGCAGGGAGGGGAGGGAGAGGAAAGGGGACCCGAGGCACAGGATGGATGGTGGGGGAGGAGGGATGCGTTTGTGATCTCCAACACCACACTTGCTAGAAATGCTCCTTGTTTCAAATAAGCACTAGCTGAGAGTTATTGCACAAAAAAAAAAAAACAGGGAGGCCGCCTGAAACCAGCAGCTGCCGATATGGAAGCCTGGTCCCAAAGAGAAGATGCTGGGCATTTCATTTTGATTGCTTAAGAGCAGGAAAAGATGCCATGTGTTTGCCCCATGACACCCTCTCTCCAGCTCTTCTTGACTGGTGATTAGGATTCAGATCGGGCCCCTGGAAAGCAGGTTTTAAAGACTGACACCACAGCATATTCTGAATTTTGTAACTCTATATGAGATTCACTGACACAAAATAAAACCCCCTCTTGGTCCATAAAATGGTATGTGTGTGTGGGGGAGAGGGGGCTAAAGTCCTCTCCTCTTACGTTTTTTTTAAAATCACCCTGCTTGGGGGGGGGTCCCTTCATACCAAATGGATGTAAAAATGCATTCTGACTGATTTAGGGGGAATAGCCTCCAGTCTTTATCATCCTCCGGCCCCATGGAAAAATAAATATTAGGGATATGGAAAGGCCGTGTCTTTTGGCAAAGTAAGGAAACAAGATTTATGCTCCCTGATTGAAATACCCTCGGTGTGAACTTTTGCTCGCTTTTCCTTATTAATCCCCCCTTCTTTTCTGGAGCAGAAAGAGATGCTCTCCCAGTCTGATTTATGAAGCATAATGGATTAAGGGCTGCCACTGGGAGATGGGGTGACATAAATTCTGGATTTGCTACTCATTTGTTTTGTAACCTTGGGAAAGTCACTTATCTCTTGAAGGCTTTCCGTCTCCCCCACAGATTTGCCCCATGACCCAAGAGACTTGGAGAATTAAGCACAGGGTTTATCCTGAGGTATTTACAAGGATAGAAGGGAAATGAGCTGTCCAGCTCCTGAAAAGTTGGAAGAAAGTATAAAATTCTGGTAGCTAGTAGTGAAACCCGTAGTTTGGAGGAAATTTAGTAGAAACTGTTCTGCCTCCTTCACACTGCCCTCCCCCAAACACATACACTGAAGACATGTGGGGAAAATACCCTTAAGCAAATCTATCTTTAAAACAGGCACAAAATCAATCTGCATTTTATAACATGGTACAAAAGGAGGCACTGTCCCTCCCTCCTTCCATCCTTGCTCACTATTGGTTGGGTCAAAAGCAGAAATAAACGAATAAATCCCTTAATTTAATGACAGAGTTGTCTTTTGAAGCTCTGTGCTAGGAAATACAATTTGCTAAAGAATAAATTTATTTCCAAGGCAGAACAAAGGTAGATCTCACTTTCTTGTCATTTTGGGTCAGAATGATCAAGACTGAGCCATTACTAGAAACTTTGGAGCATTTTTATTAAATCCATACCAGATTCCTAAGTAGCCAGTAGATGGGATGGGGTTTTTTTAATCCCATCTCTGTGTCAGATCAGAACAACCTTTTGTTAGATGAGAACTACTGTATATATACATATTGTTAAATATCTGAGATATTTACTATCTGATCACAATCTGTTTTTAGAGGAAGCCCATGCTTAGTGGCAGAATACTTCCTTTACACGAAGAATAAACAAAATCCAAGTAAACTAAAAGCAAAGAACAAGGTAGCTTGTAACAATGGATAGCTGCAATGGGAATTCTGCTTTTACATAAAAGGCTGAAAAAATTACTGCCAGCCCTAAAAGAAAACAGATGAAGAAATAATTAGGTTAAAATTCTATACATTCTTAACTAGGAATAAGTCCTACTTACTGAGCAAAGTGTTCCACCTGTTAAAATAAAAGGTTTTTGATCTTTATGAGAAAGGTTTGGAAATATTCTCTTCCCATCTCTGTCACTTATTCTTTGTCCAAAAAGATGTCCCATCTCAGAGACAGAGATATCCTTCATTCTTCATTATTTCTGTGCATGTGGGCCACTCTAAGTGTCCTCTGCTTCTACAAAAACCACATGGAGTACAGCCCTTAAGTAGAAAAGCCCTTCAAATGGAAAGATCCATGATCTCTCCTTGGGGTAAGCTACAAATTTCGGGAAGATACTTTTGTGAGGACTGCTGCCCAGTGACATAGTAAAACATGGGTACATGGTGGTTGGTGTACAACTCCCATAAGCCATAGTCTATGCCAGGGGTAACTTTAAGACTTATGGACTTCAACTTCTAGAATTTCTCAGCCAGCCATACTGGCTGGGGAATTCTGGGAGTTGAAGTCCACATATCTTAAAATTGCCAAGTTTGGAGACCCCTGGTCTATGTAGATAGATTTTGGGAGGCATTATCTAAAATATTTGGCAACATCACAGTCTAGACCAGCACAAGATCTCCTAAACTTGTATGTTCAATAGGCCCCTGTAGCTGGATAAACTACCCAGATGACTGGGTAGCTGTCATCTCTTAGTAACTAACCACGGTCTGCTCTGAAGAGGTAGCAGAGTAGGTGAGAACTATCTGTACCATTTCAGACAAGAAGAGATATAGGGCTTAAGAAATTAGAATTGGAGATAGCTCCTTCACAAACTACTTTTTGTTGGGCTCCTTTTCTCTGGAGATATTCAGATGTTTTTTAAAATCTACATAGCATTCAGAAAATTATTTCGAGTTACAGACTGAAGTGATACAATTCATGTCTACTTAGCATCTTGATCTTAATTCGTACTACTGCATGTGTAGTTTGGCTCCATTGTAATGCCCATAATTATTTCACCAAGAGCCTTCAGACTGGTAATACTGATGCTACAGTTTGGCCTCTTTTGCATTAGCAGATGCCTTATCTCCTGGATCAATTAACATAGGGCTTTTTTTTTTTTGTTCATTTGAGTTTGTGTTGTCTCCTGGAAACTACCTGGGCAAGTCCCTGCAGTTTTATTGGCATGGTTTTTCAGAAATGGTTTGCCATCCTAGGGCTGAGTGAAAGTGACTGCTTCAAGGTCATCCAGTTGGCTTTGGGACTGGAGGGACTACAGCAGGACCAGAAATCAGAGTTTCCTTCTAGCTTGGTGCCTTAACCACTATACCAAATTAGCTCTCTAATGAATGCTAGGGGGAATTTTGAAATCCCAGAGTCTTTTTGAGTGGGGCAGCTATAATAAATCACCATCAATGTCATCATCCCAAATTAAGGAATCTTGGGAGCTGAGATTCTATTTCAATCTAATTCAATTTGTACCAAAATTGGGCCTCCCATATCTAAGCGGCATGTATATAATGTGTGTATATCGATGTCAGGGGTCTGCAATCTTGACAACTTTAAGACTTGTGGACTTCAGCTCCCAGAATTAGCTGGCTGAGGAATTCTGGGAGCTGAAGTCCACAAGTCTTAAAGTTGTCAAGGTTGCAGACCCCTGGTCTATGTGAATGAGTATATGTAAGTATGTCTATGTATATGTACAGATAATCCTCAACTTACAACCACAACTGGGATCAGAATTTCCATTGCTAAGCAAGGGCAGTTGTTAACTGAGTCAGGCCCAGTTTTATGAACTTTTTTTTAACCACGGTCATTAAGCAAATGACTGCAGTTGTGAATTGACTTTGCTTGTCAGAAGCTAGTTGGAAAGGCTGCAAAAAGCAATCACATCTGTTGTGAATACACGCTGCTTGCCAAGTGCCTGAATTCTGATCATGTAGCTGTTGGGAGGACTATGATGGCTATAAGTGTGTGGAGCAATTGTCAATAACTTTTTTTTCAGTGCTGTTCTAACTTTGAACAATCGCTAAATGAATGGTTGTACATCAAAGTCTATGTGTGTGTATGTGTGTGTGGTATGTACTAGTATGTATAGTATTCTACACCAAGGAAGGTGACATAGAATTCAGTTTCTATGGGCTGCCTAGATTTGGGTCCTGGATGTCCATTATAAGAGTTAGCAGAGTAAATATTCATTCACTGTTGAATATTATGAATGCTTTTAATAGACAAGGAGGTAGAACGGTCCCATAACATAGCTAGTGGAAATTTTATTGAATCGACACTGTCACAGAAAGATTGAAAATCCAGCATCCTCCCCCACTGACTACCAAGGAATTAGGTAATTAGGGAAGACC